GTATGGGGCGGCAGTGGGGCCCGCGGCGCCCTCAGCCCCGCGCGTCCCCTCGGCCCCGCGCGCCCGGCGCCGACGCTCTCCGGGCCCATCTCGTCTTTCCCAGGGCACAGGGCACCGGGGCAGCGAGACGGAGAGACTGACTCAGAGGAAACCAGAGAAGGCGCCAGCGTTGGGGACGCGGGGCCGGCTGCAGGGCTGGGGCTCTCCGGGGATGCCCGGAGAGCGGGGGCAGCCCCMAATCCGCTCCCTCCCCAGTTCCACCTTGGCTGAGAGAGCCGGGCCGAGCGGGAGTGGCGGCGACGCCACATGGAGAAGGGAGCAAGGGGAACCATGGCCAAGCTGGCCGTGGCGCGAGGCGGCCGACCCGCCGCGGGCCCGGCCAGCGCCTTGTGAGCGCCGTGTCCTGCCACGGAGCCGTCCCCCTGCCTGCCCTGGGCTGCCYCGGCCCCACGGCTGCCCTATATCCCCCAGGCGCCGTGCGCTGAGCCCCACTGGCACCGGGACGGGCTCGGGGTGCACGAGGAGGCGCCGGGCACAGGGGACGGGCTCCCYGCGCAGCGATTCCCAGTGCCCCATGCATGTGAGCGGGGCTGAGCGGAAGGCCGGGACCGCGGCCACACGCACGGCTGCTCCCCGGCGCTCCTGCCCTCCGACCGGGCAGGGATTGGGGCTCGCCGGTCCCGGTGAGGCCAGGCAGGACGCCTGGGCAGCCGTGGGGCTCGAGGGGCGGCCGGAGCCCCAGCCCGGGGAAGCTCTGCGGCTCCTGCCCCACGGCACCCACCACTGACCCCCGCACCCAGCCCCAGGGCATCCTCCATTCACCTCCAGCATCCCGCCCCGGAGCATCCCAGCCGCAGCCCCAGAGCATCCCCACTGAGCCCAGGTCCAGGGCATCCCCCATCGAACCCAGCCCCACAGCATCCGCCCTCATCCCTCACCCCCAGCCCCACAGCACCCGGCATCCCCCCCAGCCCCACCGCACGTCACCGCCCCCCCGGGCCCGCGGCAGCTCCCTGCGAGGGCAGCGCGCGGCTCCGCCGGCCCCACAGCCCGCGCCCCACGGCAGCCCCGCTGCAGCCCGGCCCCGCGGCAGCCCCC